TGTTAGTTACATTATATATTTATATGTATATAATATTTTATTTTTATATTTTATATAAATATAAATATAATATATAATATTATTATTATAATTTAAAATTATTATAAATTATAATATTATTAATATCATTTATAAGTAATATAATTTCTCATTATTATAATTTAGTATTATTATAATTTGTAATAATATTAATATAATTTTATATATTTTATTTATATTTTATATAAATAAAATATGATGTGTACATAATTATGAAATTAGTCTAAGTCATATATCTCTTGTTTCGAGACATTTCAAGATTTATACTTGAACACTATATAAATTCTATACAGTATTGAAATAACAAACATTATTTAACAATTCATTTTTGATAATATCGGTTTCTAATTACATTGAATTTATTTAATTTATAATAATGTAGTTCGTTATAACTGATAAACTCATTTTTTATTCATTTTCACTCAGACCACTTTCTTAATTATGGGCACATAATATATATATATATATATAAATATAAATTCTTTTTTCCTTATTTTTCTATTTTAAACAACATCTAACGAATTTTTATAAGAAAACATTATATTACGTACGAATTAAATACCTTACAAATACCACCAAATAATAAAAACACAATTATGTACAATCTTAATTATTTACAAACAAACAAACAAACAAAAAAATACAAAAAAAAAAGCTTAGAAAACATTTAAAAACAAAAAATTGATCTCGCGATGAACGAACCCTTGCAAAAAAAATTCAACAATAATACCAATGATTATAAATCAATAATGGTATTATTTTAATCTTGAAAATCATTAAAAACACCTGATAACACAGCCATAGTTTGTAAAAACCTTTAAATGTTCCATGCATTCATTTGTTCATTTTTAAAAAAAAATTCTTCAAGGACGTTGTTGATCATTAACAACATAGTTGTTCTGTGTTTCATGGATGAGCACGTAGGGGAAATACAGAAGTGGTGGAGTAAGAGGGTGAAAGGAGGATGAAGAAGAGGAAGAGGAGAAAAGGGTAGAGGGGAAAAGGGAAAGAGGAGATACGTTTGTTATATTGGAGCCAAACGAGTGGTTGTTGGTCGGTCGTGTTTGCCAGGAAACTGTCTTTGTTGAGAGTGCTTCACGAAATATTCTTTGTCTCTTATAGCCATCCATGTGTTTTATGCGACCCCAACGACCCACGCTCGAAGAACACATTTTTCAAATAGGAACGAAGACTTCTTCTTCTTCTTCTTCTTCTTCTTCTTCTTCTGCTTTTTCTTTTTCTTCTTCTTTTTCTTGATTCGTCATTCTAAATAAAAGATAAGAAACAAATCATATTTTATTTTTGCGTTTTAAATTGGAATGAATGACGTGTACCTACTCGTGTGGTATAGATGCTTCTGAATATATTTTTTTATTTTATATTTTATTTTATATATATATATATATATATATATTTATAATTAAATATATATTATAATTATAACAATAATAATTAATAATAATAATAATATTTTATATAATATTATTATTATATAAAATATTATATATATATATAAATAAAATTTTAATTTAATATTATTATATA